CTTACTGTTAATCCTCCACCTACTATATATATTCTGTTCTATGTCCCTCAATCATTAATAACCACCTAAAAAACCCAATAAAACACACAACAGGTAACTGCCCACACTGCAAACATCTAGAAACCCCGGAACACGCACTCATCCACTGCACACACTACCTAACACATCGAACCGCATTACAAACCACCCTCAATCTAAGCAAGGCTCTCACTCTAGAAGCAATACTAAACCGACAAAATAAACTAGAAAACTTCAAGGCCTTAGGCGTATTCTTAATCAAAACGGAACTAATAAAACGCATCTAAAAACAAAATAATCTACCAAATCAAAATCACATAAACAAACAAACATCCACCATACTCAGCTCCCTTAGTTTTCCTCCCCAACCCCATCGGCATCTATTCCAAATCTCAAAATTCCCAAATTCTATATAAGCAGCCCCTAAAGCCCCCTCTTGGGTTGCACACACCACTTTCGCCCCTTTCGGAAACACATTAAATGGCCTGGCCGGGCCCGTGTGCGAAATACGCATCAGTCGGAAAGCGCACGTTAAATCTCCAAAGTAAGTAAGTAAGTACAGAAGTTGTTATCCATAAAATTGTGTCCAGGATGCTTCATGCTGTGTTATATAGTTTTCTAGATCGCTTCGACCTTCACATGTGTGACTGACTGAATACATCAATCTGCGTCTACCGAAATTTAACACAATGAAGACTATAACCACAGTTAACTTTTATATAATTATTGAATCAAAAGTGACCAACCTTAGCACTATGACATTTCTAAAGCCACTTTCTTTCTTTTCGGATGGCACCAATTTTGGGTTCTGGAAAGATGTTTCTCTGAGACACAATTGGTCTTCAATCAGGGCATCAAGGAGGAGCGCAAAAATATTTTTAGACTAGCAATTCACTTTGCTACAGAACACATATGTCCAGCGAACTATTTGTTTTTTTATTTCCAAACAAATCTCAACTAACATCCCCTCTCACCTTCCAAGCATAGCCAATGGTCGCACCTACTGTTCAAACATAAATATTAACCACGATTGATCAAATCACTACGTATTCAAAGCATTAAGGATGGTCATACTCGCACCACTGTCATATCTAGTTATACCAATAAGGCCTTGTGTCCATTAAAAGCTGAAATATCCAAGTCCACAAATGACATCTACCACGATGGTAACTGGATGTCTTTATTCCAGCTGCCCGCGGGACCGCCCCCGTGGTCTAGTGGTAGAGCGTCTGCCCGGAGAACGGAAAGTCCGGGGTTCGATCCCCGGCCGCGACATTAAAATACGTTTAAAGATGGTACTTGTTGTTACCCTGTCTGGCGCTCGGCATTACGGGGCTAAAACAAGGACTGGTCGGCTCGGAGTCAGTATACTGTGTCTTAATGGGGTATTCATGTTAAACTGCGGCATGGTATCTCAGTGTGCTAGCACTATAAATCGGCATTAGTCCGGACTAGTATAAGCAGCCATACACACATACACACATACATGCACGTCGCTATATAAGTGCAATAATCGTGGACGCGACGTTATACTCCATTTCACCCCGCCCCTAGCTGCCTGCGCTATGAATGTATGTTGTCAAAGGAAGAAAGAAAGTATGTCTTTCCACAAAAAAATAGTTAATACACCGTGTGCGTCACCATCTATCTAGATGCGTATCTATCTATCTATCTATCTATCTATCTATCTATCTATCTATCTATCTATCTATCTATCTATCTATCTATCTAAGATAGCTACGCGATAATTCCCAAAAAAACAATGAAGAACGAAGTGTGGTTTATTTCACGATAAAACATTGTTTTATCATGACGTCATTTCTGGAGATTCGAACATGCGCTCGCAACTTGATGACGTCGTATATATGACGTCGTATTTATTGCTTAGTACATCATTCGCAATGACACTTGTTTCGGGACAATAAGCAGCCATACCATGTCTGATTTAAGTCAATTTAAACCTGCTTGTTATGATGAATATGAATCTCAGAGTTAATGATTACCGTTATCACAGTCCAAGTCACTAATTGTAATTTCTGGCATTGTACCTCTTTAATCATTATATGAAATGTTACTTCGATGAAATTATGTTTCAGTACAACAAATGTCAACACACATGTTTAACACACATTCCCAAATTCTATATAAGCAACCCCTAAAGCCCCCTCTTGGGTTGCACACACCACTTTCGCCCCTTTCGGAAACACATTAAATGGCCTGGCCGGGTCCTTGTGCGAAATACGCATCAGTCGGAAAGTCACTAATTGTAATTTCTGGCATTGTAGCTCTTTAATCATTCTATGAAATTATGTTACTTCGATGAAATTATGTTTCAGTACAAAAAATGTCAACACACATGTTTTCTGAAGCAATGCTTTCCTTTATCAATCTTATTCTATTTTATCATTTCCTTTTATCAATCAATCAATCATTTCTTCATGTTTTTGTTTAACAGCCGCAAAATGTAATATTAGTATATGGTCGTCACGTAGCGTAGCCTAAAATTTCTTTCAAAATGTATTATCATTAGTTAAAGCTTAGATTGCATGATGCGAACAAACACACGTTTGGGTCTCGTCAAATAGACTGCTTCACCCCAAAGGAATATTGAAGCACATAAAATATCTCTGGAATGAATTATTTGTTTGATTTAATCCACTTTATGTTCACTTTGAAATAAACACAGCCGAGAGCTTTGATGGCAAAATATAATCTTCTACCTTAATATCATCTGCTTACATCTGCTTAAAGTTAATTCCTCCCAACGGAAGTATTATAATGTTGCAAACTTAATTAAGGCAAAAATATTGCTGACCGATATTCGTTGGTGGACCTCTCTATTAGAAATTTAGCAATAACATCTACGAACCACAAGAAGTCCAATAATGTTCTTTCTGGTAATCACTGTTAAGTGTTGACGGGACTATCAGAATGAAGAACAATTTCATGTACGACGCAGATAAAGGGTTGAGGATACCCATGCTCTGAGACTCGCTTTGAAGCTGGAATAACAAGACGATTCGACATACAGTCGTCGTGTGTGTTTACGACGCTGTCACGGGGAACATGGTTAGAGTGAGTGAGTCAATTGTGTTTAACGCGGCTTTTAACAATAGTCCAGTTATATCATGACGTGTCGGCTTAATGTGGGAGGAAAACCCAAAGTGATGCAGGTCTTAGACGTTTATCTCTTCGTTGTAACCCACGAGCACGGGTACGGTGCTGACAAACCTAGAAACATAATCGGGGCGAACCGGGATTCGAGCCCACAATCATAAGTTCCAAAGAGACGCAACTCTGAATTGCCTCTAGTGTTCCAGAAGTCTTACAATGACATTTCAAGCATGTGTACGAATGAAAGTTATCTATGCCCGAGGGTTATATGTCAGGTAACACGTTGAGGTGTTTCTTACAAGCCGCAATAAACATAAAACTCAATCGTCAATGAACTTGGTATCAATCAAGAAAAGGGGTAACGAATACCCAATAACGGAAGTACATCCATTCTGAGTGAACTGTTGGTACAGCCATTATAGTGTTCATTGCTCTCATAACAACGTTCCAGAATCATGGATCGCATATGGTGCAATGGGGGTTACTCTGTTAGCACACGTCTCCCTGATTTCTATTTGTAGAAAACATGTTGATCCTTGTTCCTTTTTTATTTCAGGGATATGCACACACGTCAAGATGAGAGTTATGGTAAAATATGTAATCCGTCCGCTTTAACTATTCCCAGGCTGAAGAACATCTTTTACAGCTAATCGGTGAAAACAGATCCGTAATTCACTGTGCTAATTCAAGAGCTACACTGTTTTGTTCTACTTGTCCGTTATAATGGATAGATTATAACAGGTCTGGGTGCACGGATGGGCCAGTCGTCCAAGGCGCCGCGATTCGCTGTGCAGAGTTGCGTCCCTTGGGCGCGCCAGAAACCTATGATTGTGGGTTCGAATTATGTTCCTAGGTTTGTCAGCACCATACCCGTGCTCGTGGGTTTCACCAAAGTGGTAAGCGTCTGAGACCTGCATCACTCCGGGCTTTCCTCCCACATTAAGCTGAGACGCCGCGATATAACTGGAATACTGTTAAAAGCGGCGTTAAACCCAACTCACTCACTCTTACAAGTCTAAATCATTCTTAAATGATGCAATATAGTTGTAACTGTAGAAGAACAAACATTCCATACATGACACATATATATGTATCTATCTATTCGTGTCCACATACTAACAGCAACGTATTTATTAAATGTCTGACCCGTGAAGATCCGGGGTAGAATAAGCCTTAAGCAAACCCATGCTTACAGTGAAAGGCGACTAACGGGATCGGGTGGTCAGGCTCGCTGACTTGGTTGATCCATTTCATCGTATCCCAGCGTATTGCGTGGATCGATATGCTCATGATGTCAATCACTGGATTGTCTGATCCAGACTCGATTATTTACAGATCGCCGTCCTATTGTTGGAATACTGCGGCGTTAAACAACAAACAAACAAACAAACATGTATCTATTTCTATCTGTATCCCTATAGACCAAGAAGAATATTCACAATATACATTGCAAGGCATGACGGGGTGGTGTCATAGGGGGTCGAGATGGGAGATGAGCCAGGAGGGGGAGAAGGGAGGACGAGATGGGAAGATGACGTGTGGGTTTAACAGGAGGGTGAGGTGAGGTGAAATTGGGTTTAATGTCGCGTTCAAGATTGTTGCACTTATATCGCGACGTGCATGCACGTGCGTGTGTGTGGCTGCTTGTACTAGTCCGGGCTAATGCCGATTTTATAGTGCTAGCCCACTGAGATACCATGCCGCAGTTTAACATGAATACCCCACTCAGACACAGTATACTGACTCTGAGCAAACCGGTGCATGTTTAAGCCCTTTAATGCCGAGCGCCAGGCAGGTAACAACAAGTGCCATCTTTTAACGTCTTTTGGAATGAAGCGGCCGGGAATCGAACCCCCGACGCCCTACAACTAGACCACGGAGGCGGTCAACAAAAGGCAGAGATTGAAGGAAGCGACCGTACTGTAAGACGAGAAGGTGTGACGGGAGGGTGTGATGGGAGGGTATGACGGGAGGGTGTGACGGGAGGGTGAGGCGGGATTGTGTGATGGGAGGGTGTGACGGGAAGGTGTGACGGGAAGGTGTGACGGGAGGATGAGGCGGAACGGTGAGATACCGGAGAGAGACAGGAAGGGGAGACGGGAGGGAGTGACGGGAGGGTGTGACGGGAGGATGAGGCGGGATGGTGAGATACCGGAGAGAGACAGGAAGGGGAGACGGGAGGGAGTGACGGGAGGGTGTGACGGGAGGATGAGGCGGGATGGTGAGATACCGGAGAGAGACAGGAAGGGGAGACGGGAGGGTGTGACGGGAGGGTGTGACGGGAGGGTGTGACGGGAGGATGAGGCGGGATGGTGAGATATCGGAGGGAGACAGGAAGGGGAGACGGGAGGGTGTGACGGGAGGGTGTGATGGGAGGGTGTGACGGGAGGATGAGGCGGGATGGTGAGATACCGGAGGGAGACAGGAAGAGGAGATGGGAGGGAGTGACGGGAGGGTGTGACGGGAGGATGAGGCGGGATGGTGAGATACCGGAGAGAGACAGGAAGGGGAGACGGGAGGGTGTGACGGAAGGGTGTGACGGGAGGGTGTGACGGGAGGATGAGGCGGGATGGTGAGATACCGGAGGGAGACAGGAAGAGGAGACGGGAGGGAGTGACGGGAGGGTGTGACGGGAGGATGAGGCGGGATGGTGAGATACCGGAGGGAGACAGAAAGGGGAGACGGGAGGGAGTGACGGAAGGGTGTGACGGGAAGGTGAAGCGGGACGGTGAGATACCGGAGGGAGACAGGAAGGGGAGACGGGAGGGTGTGACGGGAGGGTGTGACGGGAGGGTGTGACGGGAGGATGAGGCGGGATGGTGAGATACCGGAGGGAGACAGGAAGGGGAGACGGGAGGATGAGGCGGGACGGTGAGATACCGGAGGGAGACAGGAATGGGAGACGGGAGGGTGTGACGGGAAGGTGAAGCGGGACGGTGAGATACCGGAGGGAGACAGGAAGGGGAGACGGGAGGATGAGGCGGGATGGTGAGATACCGGAGGGAGACAGGAGGGTGTGACGGGAGGATGAGGCGGGATGGTGAGATACCGGAGGGAGACAGGAAGGGAGACGGGAGGGTGTGACGGGAGGGTATGACGGGAGGGTGTGACGGGAGGGTGTGACGGGAGGGAGTGAAGGGAGGGTGTGAAGGGAGGGTGTAACGGAAGGGTGTGAAGCGTGGGTGTGACGGGAGGATGTGACGGAAGGGTGAGACTGGAGGGTGAGGCGGGACAATGAGATACCGGAGGGAGACAGGAAGGGGAGACGGGAGGGTGTGAAAGAAGGGTGTGAAGGGAGGTTGTGACGGGAGGGTGTGACGGGAGGGTAAGGGGACGGGTGAGATGAGAGACAGGAAGGTGAGGTTGGAGTGTGTGATTAGAGAGTGAGACGAGAAAAGTGAGATGAGAGGAATGAACGTGAAGGTGAGACGGAAAGACGAGATGGGAAGGTGAAACAGGAGGGTAAGACTAAAGGGTGAAATTGGAAAGAGAGATGGGTGGATGGAACGGGAAGGTGAGACGGAAAGGCGAAATCGGAAGGTGAGACTTAAGGAGCCTAGAGAGTGAGATTGGAAGGTGAGACGTGACAGTGAAACAGAAATAACGTCATTAAAATGTGCAAAATGCTCGCTTGAAGGCTATTTCTTCAAGTGTGGGAAGAGGTGGGAAGATGGTTCCAAATCTAGGGAATACGTAGGATGCTTATATTAATAGACCTGTGCACAGGTGCATTGTCCTGGTTGATAAAAACACCTTTAATAAGTTTTACCTTGATATTCCCACGCAGTTACCAAACAGAGTAGCACAATTAGTGGCCATATTGGCTGATAGCGGTGAGTGAGTAAGTGAGTTTGGTTTAAACGCCGCTTTTAACAGCATTCCAGTTATATCACGGCGTGTCAGCTTAATGTGGGACGAAAACCAGTTTACCACTTCGGTGAAACCCACGAGCACGGGTATGGTGCTGACAAACCTAGAAACATAATTGGGGCGAACCGGGATTCGAACCCACAATCATAGGTGTCTGGCGTGCCCAAGGGACGCAACTCTGCACAGCGAATCGCGGCGACTTAGACGACTGGGCCACCCGTTCCCCCTGATAGCGGTGAACCGAAGTCTGGAACCTTAAGCAAGGTCGGCTGTGAGTCGGTACACTGGTTGGGGTACCCATGTTAAACTGAAGCAAGGAATAACATCATATAACCGGCATTGGTTCGGTCTAGTGCAACAGCCAAACACTCACGCACGCACGCACGCACGCACGCACGCACGCACGCACGCACTCACGTTTTCAGCCAATCCTCGTATGTTTGGAAGTCTAGTTTAATTTAATCAGTGCTCTCGCTGAAATCTCCGCCACAACCTGATTTATTTGCACGTTTTACTTTTATTACTGGTTAAGTTACAATCTTTTTTTTGTCAACTATATACCTGGTTGCACATTTTACTGGACAATACTGGCCGTCTGGTGCGTCTTCAGAACACATTTCAATAGCTGATGCAGCAACACATGTGCCAGATTATGACTAATTGGTTACGTACACATTTACATGGACATCGGTTCTGTCGATTTGGTTAATGGTTTTTGTCTCATGTGTCTGGCGTACTTCATTTCCTATTTGCGTTGTGCTCATCAGTCTTGAGTTTCAAAATCACATTATACAATTGCGGAATAGGATGCAATAATGCCATGGCCATGCTCTTCTTTTAATACACTCTCGAAATAACCTGGGAGACGAGGTGTCGCTGTGGGGCGCTTTGAGTTATGTTTCCATGGATAGGTCGGACGTTTTAGCCGGGTCCCATGGCTTCAGCTTCATATTTCCATAAACATGCTACTTTTGATGAGACCACATAGACATGGTACTGGGGCAAACAAATATCATGTGGACATATCAACCAGTATCAGGTTGACATTATTCCTCTGATCAAATCACCTTTTCGCGAGCACCGAGCACCGGGTCATCACTGATGTACAGTAATCCACTCCTATGATTTTGTTGTTCTCAGGCTTTGACGTTTAGTATTGGCATTGAATAAATACGATAAACATCTATGATCGCGTACAGATCAGACAGATCGTGAAGATCCGGGTAAAATAGGTCTTCAGCAACGAATGCTTGCCCTAAAAGGCGACTATACTTGTTGTAGGAGGCGACTAACTGTATCGGGGGGTCAGGCTCGTTGATTTGATTGATGTATCCCAATTTCGTGGATCGATGGTCATGATGTCAATTACTTGATTGTCTCGTCCAGACCGTCGTCATATATCTGGAATACTGCTGAGTGTGGCGTTACACAAACAAACAAACAAACAAACAAACAAACAAATAAACAAACAAACAATCATGTTACCTGCAACTTAAACATTTCCAGAGTTTCATGTTCCATGGAGTAGATTAGAAATCTTAAAAAGAAAACTTTACATTCCCGTGGTGCACTTTTTATTATTTATACATTTTTTTTATATTATTGTAAAGGTTTCATGGTAAATGAGTGAGTAAGGCTTTACGCCGCTTTTAGCAATATTCCAGCAATATCACAGCGGGACACCAGAAATGGGCTTCATACATTGCCCATGTGGGGAATGGAACCGGGGTCTTCAGCGTGACGAGCAAACGCTTTGTCCACTAGGCAACGCCACAGTAAGTGTAAAATGATCAGCATTGAAAAAAGGTTAAAAATGTTTGCACTTATGGTTGGCTCCATCGAAGTCGCATGGCCAACCTTCGGTCTGGTGATGCACCTGAAGCAACATAACTTTTTCCAAAATCATAAGAAATAGAAGTAATATTTTCACCCAAATAAAGCCCACGGGAACATATGGTACAAGTCAATATAGGTAATTGCATATTTGTTTACTGATGCGTCAAATGGGATGTTGAAATTTGAAATTTGGAATTTGGAATTTGGAAATGTCCTCCAAGAACCTTTTATGTTTCCTTCTTTTCGGTTTCTTTTATTTCAGAACTGGAGGCCACATGGCAAAGATTACAATTTATAAAAACAACAACATATTTTACAGTATGTGGATAACGTTTTAACAACACTTATCCTTAAATACGTATTTTCAATTTATATAAGTTTCTTTATAAGTACAAGGCAATAACTTTCTATATGTTTATTTTTGTTGACAATCAATTCGGTAAGTTTTGGCCCGAAGGGCAGTTGTAATAATTCGGGATCCATTTATTTCTACTTTCTGTATAATGAGGGCAAACCTTTTGAAAGGAGTTACTCAGAAAACAGTACTGTAGTATATGTTGTATGTACTCAGAACTTTTTGAACATATACTGATGCAAACGAATAAGGGAAATAAACTTTACAGTCAGTACATTTAAGACGGCGCGAAAGTAAATTTCATATCCTTATGCCTTATGTCACAAAACGTAACTTGATCCAGAGTGGGAGAGATGCTCTTTGATTTATTTTTTTCAGCTTTAAATTTTGAAATATTAACATGTGGATTCATAAGTAAAATGAAATCAGATATATTAATGTACACGATGCCCGAACGCGTATGTCACAAGGACACAACCAGGGCAGAATCTTTTGAAGGAAAGTTACTCAGAAAACAGTAGTATATGTTGTATTTTCAAAATTCAGAATTTACACAGAGCTTTGTTGAACATATACTGATAGAAAGGAATAAGGGAAAAATGAAAAATATAGGGAAATAAGCTTTACTGTCAGTTCATTTAAAAAAGCGCACATCCAAAATCAACACATGTCAGAATCAAATGTTGAGATGAGTTTGTGTGTATTGTTTCCTTCCATATTTGGTTTACAAGGCTTGGAATATGCTAGTATATCGTTTTGGAGTAACACAACACAACGTGACACTCGACAGAAATAACACAGTATGCCAGGACAACTTTGTGACAATGCGGTTTTCAGAGACGGGTCGTGAAGATCATTTAAAACGATGTGATAAATAGAACCGTTGTGGTAGATGTGTCACTCATGAAAAGATCAACTGTCAGTTGAGTCGATGAGGTAAACATATTTTTGTTAAAGAAACACAAATATTCCCTATCTTCGTGTGATCGCGACTGAACAGTTAAAATGCTAGCCGAAGAATATACACATAACAGAACTTTCACTGCTAAATGTGTGATGCTCCTGTTGCGTGGATAATATTCTTTCGACCCACGCTGGCTGGCAATCCCAGTGCAATCGTGATGACTGTGTTTGATGTGCATCCGTGACCCGTTGACAATTCAAACGATTTGTAAATATTACATTTGCTTGTCTAAAGCGTGGAACATGCACATAGAAGGTAACTGAGCGATGCCTAAAGGGATACCGGAAACCGGGAAACGGAGATGTCAGAGTCAATGTCATTGAAATCAATTCATTTGTTTATTGTGTAACGTTTTGATTCCCGAACGAAATGATCTAGATTAATCTAGAAATCGGTATGTACAAAACTAAATGATTAAATCAGTACATATCCACGCACGATCAGCGAAGAATCAACAAATGATATTAAGATACACAGGATTTGGTTTACAATCATAAGGTGCAATATAATGCCTCAAATATGTGGCAGCAGTAAAAAAGAATATGTCCTATTACAAAAGTCAGTGCACTCACGAATGTCTAGCATTTGTCAGAGATGAAAGTATTGAATGAGTTCTTGAATACAGGAATCAGTTTTGAAAACAGGGAGAAAAGTTGGCGTTTTCCGAAAGGTATCCTGTCCGCACTGGACAAGAAGATAAAACGCAAAACAGGTCGTAGATGGAAGGCCTCGAATTGCCCTCTTCTCGCCCTTGTATAGGTACAGTCAGCCTTCTAGAACCTGCTACCTGGAGGTGACGAAAATAATGTATTTTGTGCCGGAATCTGATAACAAAGCCAGCTCCTCTAAAGCGGCTATCTCCAAACTCCAAGGGAGAAAATTCCACACGCAGTGTTAGCATCACGACAGGCCAGTTTTTCCATTAAGATTTTCCCATCCTGTTAAAGGTGTCTGTCCTTCTGACCAAGGACCGGTAGTATATTCACCCATACACTGAGAAAAGAATAAAAAGAAAAGTATTGTTAAGCGCGTTGAAAACTTGGATGAGTGTTTGAATTGAGTGTTACACACTTTGGAAAGTATTATTAGTTATACCAAGGTGTGTCAGCTTTATCAGGGACAACAACCCGTAAAGATACACAGCGAAAAACCCCTCGAAGACAGGTGTCGTGCAAACCATGTATTGTCTTGTGTGGGATCGGAAGCCTGAGATAATTGACGTCATATCCTAAATGCGGAGAACAGATTTAAGAACAGGTTAAATACGAAGGTAACCACAGCAACGAGCCAGAAGCATGGTGTAAATGATAGTTTGTCTTGTGGCGCTCCCATATTACTTCTTGACCTTGTCTGCAACGGAAGGTCACACGAGACGCTGCTACTTGGTCACACTGTTATGCAGTCGTCCACCCCCACAGATATATATTTTCCTTGGCTTGGAGTCTTGCGAAAGCGATAAACCGTGTCATGTATTACCTGATCGATTCCGTCTCTATTTGAGGTTTCTATTCCAGGTAATAACGTCACTACCTTCCTTGACAACCAGTGCACTGACTGGTAATTAGACGCATGGCTATGATGTTGGTTAATAGAACAAGGGATTGTGCAACCGCGTGCTTGTAAGTCCTGTTCAGTTTAATTTCTGCTCAAGCTGTGATTTCCGTCATGAGATGCATTGCTAGCAAGTAAGAGGCTTGTCTTCCTTTTAGCCCAATCATTTAGTTTTATTGCTGGTTAATTGGTTATTGTAATTGTAAAATGTATGCATTGTTAACCCCCGTCGCTTGGTTGTCA